CCCCAAAACCCCAAAACCCCAAAACCCCAAAACCCCTTCATTAGTGATTCATTGAAATTTTAGAGAGTAGAGTGATGCAATAATAATGAAGATAATATAAAAACATGACTATGAAATGATTTCAGCAATTAAAATGTTAAATATCTTCATCTGTCATGTCAATACAGCTAAAGTCATCTCATTGGTTCTTCTCAAAGACTTGTTGAGCAAGGCTTGAAACAGTCTTTGATTTGACATATAATACCTCGTAGTCTTATTTGCTTAAGCTATGTTCCTGAAGAGCACTGCTGAACCATTTGTCAAATACTTGAGTCACTGGAGTCTTTAGGTGCTAAGTAAAAGCATTAAAATTATGGTGGATATACCTTTAGGTGATAGAAATCATAGATATTCTTAATGTCGAATTACTCATGTTCAAAGTCGAATTTGGCTGGAACTTGAGATAGATGGAAGTGGAATTCAGATAATAATGATGCCATTTCTGACTTATTTGATTTACTTTAATTAATTATAAATTATCACTAATTTTGACTATATAAACTTCAATAATTGGCAAACTAGTTCAATTTTTCTCTCCTTCTATTATGTAAGCAGATTCAAATTTAATCAAACTCCTCAGTTTTCACTTTCTTCTTGCTTTTTTAAATGTGCTTTGTCTTCCAATGAAGCATCATTACCATCAGAAAGAGTCAAATTTTCCTTCTATCTATTCTTATATATAGCTGTGCTCCTTATTATTTTCGATAGTATCAAAATTAACAAAGTTATTGGAAGTGTTCCAAACAAATTACCCGCAAAGAAACTAACTAATAGGAATATCCAAAACTTTTAGTTAATCAGCTCGTACATCATATTAAAGAGCTATAATATGTTGTTATGACTTTCATGTGTTTTAATGCACATCTAACTGTATCTTAGTTCATCTTAATTATAGGTCATATTCTTTTTCAATGATAAAATCTTCTCAAGCCTAATGTTGTTACTTATATCTTTAATTTCTATTGCTACTTAAATATCATTATCAATTTTTTTAACTCTTATCATTCCAAAGTTGAAATCTATATATGCATCACTAGCCTTCCAAAAGGGTGATGTTACTATCCTGAGCATTGCTCCACCTAAGCCCATTACCTAATCTGTATGATGAGTCATGCCACTTGAAGTAATTTCTATTAGATCATATCCAGTTGATAAGGATTTGCAAGAAGAGTGGAAAAATTATGAGAAGTGAACATCTCCAGATAAAAAAACTATTCCGCTCTTCTTGACTGTTGGAGTATTTTTAATGAGGTCAATTAGCAATGCCTTTTTATTCTTCCAGTCCATTTCTTCATTAATAAATCTTCTATCTGCAAAAACCTATATTGGAATGATCATTAGAGTGACATCACTTGGTTTTTGCATTACTTCTTTCAACCACTCAAACTATGCTTAGCCAAATCTATCATTAGTTTCTAGGTCAAAATCATATCTGACATCTATCAAAATGATATGAACTTTAACTCCACTATCATCGATCATATAATCTTAGTAAAGCCCTGTTCCTTTTTGCATTTACCTGAATTTATTATGTTCTTCAGCAAGAAAGTCTATAAATATTTCTCGAACCTTATCTTTGTTGTAATAGTTTCTATTTCCATTAGAATAACCATAATCATGGTCATCCCATATTCCTAAAATTGTAGTGTTTTAAGCTCTTAATCTTTAGTAATCTAAAAGAAGTTATAATTTCATTAATCTCTTACAAAGGTCATTAAATGTTTTTAAAAATCTCCCTTTTATGTATTCTATTGGCATTGAATCATTTTACTTATATACTATTCATGTATTAGTTTGTTATATTTCTTCACTTACAAGATACTCCGATGTTGTCTGTATATGCTGCATCACCCATCCATATCCAAACATGAGGATCATTATTCGATATTACCTCGAAAATATTATTTGCAGCATTGAATAATCCGTAGCATGAGCCAAATGCAATCTTTATTTCTTCTTAACCTGGTTTCTTATTTCTCAATTTTAAATCTACTGTTTATCTATAGTTTATCTAACTCTATTGGGAATATGCTGAAAGAATCAGGAAAGATATCAAGAAAAATAGAAAACTCAAGTAATTTAAAATACGTTTATTCATTTTTATAATTCTGCCAAACAATACGAGTTAAATTCTCCTGAGCGGGGTTTTGGGGTTTTGGGGTTTTGGGG